TAATATTGTAAAGGAAATATGTATTTCCATATTTATATTTTCCATATAAAATTGTCAATACATTGATAATTGCATGCGGTACATTTTAAAAGCCTTTTCATGCTTCTGTTATATTCATAAGCCCGAGAAAATTCTTAAGGCGAAGATGACACAAGGTTTGTGATTTCTTGTTTGTTTTATTTCCATTTTTGTTACATTATTGCAAAGACAGAATTAGGTCAGATGCTAAAATAGACGACCAGCTATTTCTAGGTACAAACACGTGCACTGAAGCGCAGTTCACCACTTCACGTGTGTTCACCTACTTCATGAAACCAGTAACTTAGAATTGTCTGCGCTGGCTGCTGATCATGTTTATAAAATAAAAAAATAAATGGATAATAAAATATATATTTGTTATATGATTTCATGTGTAATGTAAATAAATACGTATAAATTTTATGTATATATATATATATATATGTATATGTATATATATGTATATATACATGTATATATATATGTATATATATGTATATGTATGTATATGTATGTNATATATATATATATATATATATATACTGTATATATATATATATATATTCAATAAAATATTAAATACACTAAAAAAACATTTGCCATACATTACATTCAAACAAGGGGGAAAATCAACACCCAGAAAAATCAGCATTTTAGTAATAATTTAAAAAACAAATAATAATTTAAAAAACAAGAAAATATCCGATCCCTAATTCTATTTCACTCGTTTCAAAATATAACACAGAGCCGACTTTCAAAATATTCCTAACAGTTATGATGAAACATCAATTTTGCTAATTTCTCTAGGTTTTTTCCTCTCTGGATCAGTCCACTATGAACATAATTAATACAAAAAATAGTAAATAATTGAATTTCAAACTCGATCAATAAATATTATTTATGTCATGCTGAATGAATTTTGTTTGCACAGAGATATTTTTACCTAGGCAGTTCAGTTCAACTTTCTCTGTCGGGCCACACTTTGCCCAACTGCGCATTAGATAAATACAAGCAGAACATAATTATACAAAACGACGCATTGCCAATGCTAAATTCAGAAGTGTTGTGGGCATCTTGATGGATATACTATTACTAACTTGCCAATAGTAGACAATCACAGCCCAGCTTATCTTTACTACAGTATAATTTTCCTTTTTTTTATTTCAGAGAGGAAAGCAATGTGTTAGAAGCACTTTATGGTGGGGCAAAAGATGGATTGAAAATCTGTGGCTATGTCTTAGCAAACCTTATTGCTATCATTTCTGTTCTTGCATTTGTCGATGCTGTTTTAGAGAGACTGGGGTACATGGCTGGAATTGAGGACCTGTCTTTTCAGGTGAGCCCTCCATTGGTGAAATTTGATTCTCCACTTACTGTAAATGTTAATGAATAGGATATTGAGAAAAGTAAAATAAGTTAAATTTAATAAATAGTTTTTGAACGACAACAAAGAAATGAGGACGATCATGTTTGGGTGTGAGCAGAGTCCATTGCTGGGACAGTTGGACAGTTCTATTTTTGTCGTAGGGGTGTACTTAAAGAAATAGAAATTGGAAGTGGTTATTCACACGGTAGACCGTGCGAATAAGCTCTCATGAGTCCTATTCGCACGGTAGACCTAGCCAATCAGTATTTAAGGTTTCATGACGTAACGGCTGTCATACCGTGCGAATAAGTTCTTATTCCCAATTTGCACGGTACATCATGAATTAACTATATTTAGCACGATATCGTCTCCAAAGGTTCAATGACCTAAATATTTTACAAGATACTTAATTTGTTACAAGAATACCGAATTGAACTGAAATACCTTTTCAGATAGACTATCATACAAACATTGTCTACCGTGCAAATAGGAAATAATACATTATTCGCAAAATAAATTTTAAAAAAGCACCAATAAAAGCTTTCTTCTTTGTTTGGCTTCTGGTTGTTCATAATCACAAAAGCAGCCATGAAAGCCTGATGTTAATTTAGTGACTACAAATCATTTGTTGAATTATTTACATAAATTTCAGGACGAAAATAACCTTGTTGTAAAGTACTGTACATACAACAATCTTTCAACAATTATCACAGCTCCCTATGGTCTCTGAGCGCTATGTGCTTTGTGTAGGCCTATATCATTAGGCCTACAATCAATGTATCCAGTGGCATTTCAAAAACACTCTCACACATTGGAATCCAAAAGGCAGTGAAGAATGTACATCAATATAAATCTTAGTTTCTAGTACGGTATATATTCTGTGGCGGATCCAGGATTATGGTAGAGAGGGATTAGGAGAGACTTTTAGAGATGTGCGAGTCTACAGGTGGGCTAAGTGCAGCACGACTGCAGCCCACAAAAGTAAAACCCTATTGAAACTGAACATAAAATTGAGTAATTTAGCATCAGTTTGGCATCCTCTCATCCTCCTCTGTTCCAACTCCCAGCATGGTTGGTGCTAATTTGTAATTAATTTTCTTTTGTTTCCCCATTTAATATTTTTGAATGGAACAAAAATCACTTCACTACTAGGCCCTATGATAAGGGACTCCACCAGTACATACTCCACACAGGCTTTTTTCATAGCTATTTCTCAAGGATAGCCTAAGAAAAGAGTAAAAGGTCTGCAGACACAATGCTAAACTAGGACCTATTGCACTTCTGTTAGGGTTATCGTATCGACTGTCTGTGCTGTGCCCAACTCATATGGTATGCCATGAAATAATACAGTATTTCTATCTACAACATTCTACTGTGCGAATAAGAGTTTTTTTCGACAATTCACACGGTACCGTGAGAATAAGCTTTTATGAGTCTTATTCGCACGATAGACCTAGCCAATCAGCATTTAAGGTTTCATGACGTAATGGCTGTCATACCGTGCGAATAAGTTCTTATTCCTAATTCGCACGGTACCGTGCGAATAAACTCTTCCATAGAAGATGTTTTATCTTACTCATAGACTATCAACGACACTGCTAATTTGTGTAATTTTCATCCATAAACAAGTGTAATAGTTTTAAAATGAGCCTAAACTACATGCAGTAATGCTCTATAAACTAGAGGCTTTCTGATTGAAGAAAAAAAGTTATACTAGTTGTGTGAGAAAGACAAAAATGCCAAGAAGGCTTTACATCTTTGTCTTCAAATAATGATAATATTTATATGGAATTTCTGGAAAGAACAGGATATGAATAGTGAAAATCTGCGGGGACATGCACTCCCCAGTGGCGACTTAAGAAATTTGCCGACAGGAGATCCGACGTGTCCGACAGTAGGGTCCGAACCAAGGGGGCGGACTATGGGCCTCGGTCAGGATCTCAGAATAAAAATCCCTCGTAGGGTTCACAGGGAGAGTTTTTATGGCTTTTAGTATTATACATAGAGCTATTAAAACAACTAGAGTGCTGACAAGATGGCGAAGTAATGCAGAGTTGTGTATGTGTACCATCCAAGATGGCCGCCGTAGGAAAGCACCACCTTCTGGCTTATTATACATATTATTACCATGAATAAGATTATTATTTCATTAAAAATAATTGATATTGATAATAACAAATTATTAAACTATCGTAGCCAAAAAGAGGCCAAGTAGAGGATCTTATTCAAAAATTTAAAAAAAATTGAAATCGTGTACATTACACCCATACACCGCAACATACGGGTAACTAGCTGTACTGAACTTTCTGTGCAAATTGAGGGCGCCATTGAAAATGATAGTGCTTAGGCGAAATTTGATTGGCTGAATCTATGGCAGCCATCTTGGATGGTACACACACACACAGCTCTGCGTATTTCGAACATCGAATACATTGCATTTACGCTCTAGTATTCTTATTATCTCTATGGTATTATACCCAAATTGAGTTTTATACAATATAGGGACTGGCAATTAAAATACTGTACATTATTTGGATGGGACAACAGGGGACAAATTCCCTCCCGCTGGCGCCAAAAATGGTATTCCCTGTCATGATTTGTTAGAGCTCTATATAGAATCAGAATTTATTTATTGATCTCCAAATGAAGAAATTGTTTGCTCAATAAAAAACCTTGCATGTAAAAATACATTAAATTACAGTCACAATAAAATATGGTAACAATATTTTATTATACTTTGTATTTCTTTGTTAATATTATCATAATTTTTTTTTTCAATGCAATGCAATAAATTATAGTTGATTTGACTTATCAAGTAAGTAGGTTGCATAACTGTTTGCATGCTTAAATCATGACAGCTTCAAGCTTTGCATAAAACAAAGATGCTGATAGATTGCATATATAATATAGCACCCTCTATTGTTTAAAGTTTTATTTTTATGATGCAGATATTATATTTTTTAAACATCGTTTTTGTTTCTGTATTAATAATAATTATTACCATTCAACGGACAAAGTACAGTGGCAGATCCAGGAATTTGAAATAGAGGCGGCCAAGGGAAGGACTTTTACAGATAGAGGGTGCAGACCACCTCAGGCCCACCATGGTTGGGGCTGAAGTAAGAAAAATTATGATTATAGCAAATCTAAATGGCTGAAAATGGCACTCTCAGACTCAAATTGAATATCATTTTCTTTTTTTCTCCATTTAAAAAAATAATTTTGACGAATTTTTTTTTTTTTTAGGGTGGGGAGCTGCCTGCTTCCCCCTCCCCATGAATCTATCATTCAAATATTCAAAGGTCATTCACATGTTGAATAGGTTGACACTTTTTATTAATTTCACCAACATTTATTGTTTGATTAACCAAGGCATACATGGAGAGATATCCAAGCACCAATATTATAACAATCTTTATGCATTATTATTAGTCTTTTATGCATTATTATTAGTCTGCCTGATGGAGCGGAACTATTCCAATTTTTTTACTGCTCCAGTTTGTAAGTTTTGTTAGCGATGGCTGTGGTGCATCGCCATCTTCATCGTCATCGTCTTGAGTTCCCACAATCATCATGTTGATTATCACGGAACTGTAGGAGGTGTAGTGGCAGTCCTTAACAGCCGGTTGTTGAGTTAATTAAGTTTTAATTTCATTTTAATTTCATTTTTTTCTTTCTTTTCTCCAGCCCTTCTTTTTTTCTTCTTTTTACCTTTTCTCTTCCTTTTCTTTTTGTTTTCTCTTTTCTTTCTCCTTTTCTTTTCCATTTTCCCTCCTTTCTCTTTTTCTTTTCTCTTTCCTTTCTCTTTCATTTTCTCCTCGTTATTTGTTTTATTTTTTTTTTATTTGAAAAAGAAAAGGGAAACATCTAGGTGAATTTGAGATCTTGATGTTCCTCATTCCACTCTCTCACTGTACGAGGAAAGAAGGTCAGAAAACAGTAGTCAGTTCTGATGTTGTATATGCATTTACAGAACAGTGAGAGCCTGGCATCATGTTAGTGTACTGATTAATACTAGCTACAACATAATGAACAACACATACTGTATGGAATACTCCCTAGCCATATTATATGGAATACTCCCTAGCCATATTATATGGAATACTCCCTAGCCATATATGGAATACTCCCTAGCCATATTATATGGAATACTCCCTAGCCATATTATATGGAATACTCCCTAGCCATATTATATGGAATACTCCCTAGCCATATTATATGGAATACTCCCTAGCCATACTATATGGAATACTCCCTAGCCATATTATATGGAATACTCCCTAGTCATATTATATGGAATACTCCCTAGCCATATTATATGGAATACTCCCTAGCCATATTATATGGAATACTCCCTAGCCATATTATATGGAATACTCCCTAGCCATATTATATGGAATACTCCCTAGCCATATTATATGGAATACTCCCTAGCCATATTATATGTAATACTCCCTAGCCATATTATATGGAATGCTCCCTAGCCATATTATATGGAATACTCCCTAGTCATATTATATGGAATACTCCCTAGCCATATTATATGGAATACTCCCTAGCCATATTATATGGAATACTCCCTAGCCATATTATATGGAATACTACCTAGCCATATTATATGGAATACTCCCTAGCCATATTATATGGAATACTCCCTAGCCATATTATATGGAATACTCCCTAGCCATATTATATGGAATACTCCCTAGCCATATTATATGGAATACTCCCTAGCCATATTATATGGAATACCCCTAGCCATAATATATGGAATACTCCCTAGCCATATTATATGGAATACTCCCTAGTCATATTATATGGAATACTCTCTAGTAACAACATATGGATGGAATACTCCTCAAGCCACGCACTCACTGCTTCTGACGTTCGTCTGCCGACAAGATTCTATTAAGAACGCAATGTCACGACGCGCGTGCACGCGCAACGGATCTTTTTTAATAACGTACAGACTGCAACCAACGATCAGTAGACTGTGTTGTGGCGTCTAGCGCTCACGCGGAGCGGAGTTGGATTTGGCGGCCAATGGACGTACAAGCGACATACGATGCAGGATGCCCGGCTGTAGCTACAACATATAGAAATACTCCCAATCTACAACAAATGGAATACTCACCATGGATATTGGTATGTGCTCCATAGGTGGCTTATAGCAATATGCATTTAGGACTTGCAGTTGCTATTATTTTATTTAGAAATAATCATTGCCTTTATTTCTTTATATCTTCACAGCTTATCTGTAGCTACTTACTTTACCCACTTGCGTGGCTGCTTGGGACAGAGAAGAAAGATTGTAAGGTTGTTGCAGAGTTGATTGGTACGAAGACCTTTTTAAACGAGTTCATTGCCTATGAGCATCTTGGGAACTTCATAAGAGCAGGTGAACTTTCAGTGAGTTTTTCATTTAATTGTTTCATTATTTCGTCAAATATGTACAAAACCAGAAAACATATTAAAACGGAATAACTTATTGTACCCTCGACAGTGACTGGATAAAGAAATAGGGAACATAATTGCTGTATTGTGAATTTTAATCTGATAAGAGTAATACAACAGTGGGAGCTCCAGAAATGTGCCTACAGGGAGTCTGGTCAGGGTCATGGAATGAAAATCTCTGGTAGGGTTCATGGGGAGAGATTTTATGACATAGTATGACCCAAAAATGTGTAATGTTATTTGGATAGGCAAATTAAAAATTTTGGGTCTGATGACCTCGTCATGACATCAAAAAGCAGGGGATCCAGACCTGTGCGACGGGGGGGGGGGTCAATTTTCTCCACAGGTACCACTTCTGTAACACAACATTAACACCAAATTAAAATGACATCTTTACAGAATATTACAACTTGATTTAAATATGAATATATAAAGTATACCGCATAAAAGTAAACAATGACCATCTAACATATAACCCAAGACAAATCGGCACATAAAACTTTTTTTATTAATTTTATTTATAAAAACAACAGTTGTGTTTTAATTTTTTATTGCCATTTTAATTAAATACAGTTTTTTTAATATTGATATTCTTATACATATAATTTTATAATAAGAGAATTTGTGTGGCTGTAGCTATTCTTTTAGTCTCTAAACTGAATATTCACTTTCGTGATATAATAAATTTGTAAATCCTTTATCTTCTCTATAGATTCGATCACAGGTCATAGCAACTTACGCCCTTTGTGGATTTTCAAATCTGGGTAGCTTGGGTGTAATGTTAGGTGGGCTTGTCCCGTTGATTCCTGAACGCAAATCTGAAATCGCGACATCTTGTCTTCGAGGTTTAGTTGCAGCCACTATAGCATGTTTGTTAACAGCAGCAGTTGCAGGTAAGATGCGACCACTTTTTTTTTTTTATCATATCGTGATCATTTTGATGCAAATCATGATATTTAAGATTTGAGAAATGTGGTCATCGAAGGTAAGATGCAATCATGATCAGTAAGATGTGATAAAATGATACGATCATGGACATTAAAATATGATCAACAAGTCAAAATTGTTCTTGCATATCACGGTAGTTTTGAGTTTAACCTACCTGTAACTGGTTTAAGCGCTTTAGGAAACGTAAATTGCGTTTAAATAATTTAATCAACTTTCAACAAAAAATCTTTAAATGGTCCTCATATCCACACCCTACTGCGGATCGACACCAAAATTGGAACATTTCTTCATTACATCATGAAAAACTATTCTGCAAAGTGTCATTTTTATCCATATATAACTGGGACGCAAGAAATTTAAATGGCCCTCAAATTTACACCCTAACCTGGATTGTCCCTACATATAATAATATCTTCCTTCTAACTTGGGTTAAACTTTCCCAAAAGTTTTATTCAGATTAGTTGACCCATTTTTCAAATATCTGGTCTGGGATGTTTTCCTTTAAATGGTCCTCATATTCACACACTACACCGGATCATCACAAAAATTCACTTATTTCTTTACTGGACATTTACAAACTATTATAGAAAGTTGCATTTACACCCATTGAAAACTTTTATAGATATTTACGTCTGGGATCTCAAAAATTTGAATGACCCTCTAATGTACACTCGCCAACACAAAATGCTATCTTCATTGTAACTTGGTTAAACTTTCCCGAAAGTTTCATTCAGATCAGTTGATCCGTTTTCGAAATATGTGGTCTGGGAAGTTTTTCTTTCAATGGTCCTCAGATCTACACCCTACTCAGGATCGTCACAAAAATTTAATCATTTCTTTACTCGACCTTGACAAACTGTCATGCAACATTTAAATTATACCCATTAATTTTTTTAAAGAGATATTTAGGTCTGGGTCCTCAAAAATTGAAATGACCTTCCCATTTACACCCTTGACTGATTCGTCGCCAGCACATAATAATTTCTTCTTTGTAACTTGGTTAAACTTTTTCCGAATGTTTCATTCAGATCAGTTGATCCGTTTTCAAAATATGTGGTCTAGGACGTTTTCCTTTAAATGGTCTTCAGATCCACACCATACTGCGGATCGTCACAAAAATTTAAACTTTTTTACAAGACCTTTACAAAGTATAATAGAATTTTTCATTTAGACCCATTGGTTTTTTATAAAGAGATATTTAGGTCTGGGTCCTCAAAAACTGAAAAGGCCCTCAAATTTACACCCTTCACTGGATCGTCACTAACACATAAAAATTTCTCCCTTGTAACTTGATTAAACTTTCCCGTAATTTTCATTCAGATCAGCTGACCAGTTTTTGAAATATCTGGTGTAGACTGTTTGACCTTAAATCACTTTAATTGGTCCTCACACGCTCACCCCAACATAGATTGACACTAAATATTAGGAGGCACATCCTTGATATATGGTATATGTTTCGGCAAAGCACAGAAAAATTCTAACCATGGGAAGTGACCAAAGTGACAACCAGAAAAAAACAGTGCAAAAAGATAGGAAAAATATATGCAAGAAGAAAGAAAAAAAACAATGGCTTTTCCAAGTACTGCTGGGAAAAGCCAATAATAATAATAATAATAATAATAATATGAATATGAACATGAATGTTAAGATATGATCATGATCAGCAAGTCATGATCAAGAAGTGGTGATCATATTCAGTAATATGTAATTATGATCAGTTTGATGTGATTGTGATCATTATGATGCAAATCATAATCAGTATAATAATCATGGTCAGTTAGATATGATTGTGAGCATAAAGATGCAAACATGATCAGTAACTCATGATCTGTAAGATGTGCAGGCCTGATGAAAACGTGACAAAGAAAATTACATTTATATATACATGATACAGTGGTTGTCAGTATTTTTTTTTTCTAAATGCCTCCTGGAAGACCCCTGTTGTCCAGTAGTATTAGTGGCCTTGAAAATGATTGTTCATCATCAGTGAGATTACTAAGATTCTGTCATCAGAAAAGTGTGATCATAATAAAAGTAAATTGTGATCATGATCAGTAAGATATGACTGTAACCAGTAGGAAAACTGTTCATGGTCAGTATAAGGTGTGTTCATAATTATTAAAATGCCATTGTGATTTTAAGATTATTATGTGATAATCAGTAAGATGTGATCATGATAAGTAAGATGTGATTTTGATCAGTAGGAAAACTGTTCATCATCAGTATATGGTGTGTTCATAATCATTAAAATGCCATTGTGATTTTAAGATTAATTATATGATAATCAGTAAGATGTGATCGTGATCAGTAAGATGTGATTGTGATCAGTAGGAACACTGTTCATAATCAGTAAGGTGTGTTCAAAATCAGTAAAATGCCATCATGGTTAATATGATGTATTAATCAGTAAGATGTGAACATGGTCAGTAAGATACGATCATAATAAGCAAGTTGTATTTATCATCAGTAAAATGTTATATTAATCACTATGATTGTTTCCAAGATAAACTAAAAGGTGGTCACGATCAATATTGTAATCATAATCGGCAATACATGATGATTATAATGCGATCATTATAATGAGTAAGATATAATCATTATCATTACGATGTTCCCACTGTGGCTTATTAGAAATTGATAACATATTTGATTAATTTTTAATGAGAAATCAATGTTGCAATTGAATTTGAATTTGAAGCTCCATCCAGATGTTACCACAGACATCATGTCTTCAATGGTTTTGAAATATTAATTGATTAATTTCTAATTAAGCTATCAGATATCTGTATCTGCAAACCACAAATGCGACTGGTAGGTATTATTTAAATAGCGTCCTCTCTGTTGTCATCAATTGGTCACTCCGATTGGCTATTAAGTTGACACCATACCATGACCTGTAGTAAAGATAATGTAATTTTGAGGCTTCTTTTTTTGTATATTTGGCAAATTCTTTGTAGGTCGCTGAAACTTTAAATTAATTTACCAAGAAGCGGTCAATTTTTTTTTACAGGAGGTGTCTTCTTGACTCTCTGTAATGAAAATGTTGCTAATTTCTCTCTTCCTATGGAGTGTCCATGGCTTCCCTTCAGTGCTTGTAATAGAGGTTAACAGAATAAAAATAACCTTTGGTATTCCAGCCCTGCAGGGGAGATCCAAAAACACCTGTGTATCTAGTTCAACATGTAAAGTACTATTTTCGAACCTTTTGTTGTACATTTTGTTACAACTTAATGCGTTTCAGCTTGTTTCCGCTGTTCATTTTATCCATTGATGTTAAGTACTGTACCTAAGGCCTTTCGTATTAGGCACTATTAAATAGAAAGTATTATAACAAAATAATATTTGATTAATGAATATTTTGTGACAATTTTTTTTAAACAGAATAGAAGTATGTTATTTTAATTTATACAATAATTAATAATGATAATGATGATGATGATAAAAAAAAATAGTAATAAATGATAAATAGTATTTATAAATACAAAATTTTCAAATCAAATTAAATTCTTTATTCATCAAAAAATTTCCTTAACAACGATAAGAAATTCAAGGATAATAAAAAGATGAAATGTACCTTCAAGAAACTCCAGGGAGCTTGTAAATAGGAGACCCATCGAACTAAAGCTTTAATTGATACAAAATCTAAGGGGAAAGGAACTAACCTAAAAAATATATAAATAAACAAACAAAAGCTAACCTAACAGTCAAAGGATTAAAGTTAAAATTCAACAGGGACGGGAGATTGGTATTCTATTACCAGTATGACCAAGTTCTGTATCAAGTTGACAACAGATGCAGAAATGTTTGAGCATATATGAAAAAGTAATAATGGTAATGAGACCAGAAATTCTATTAACAATAATTGGCCTAATAATAATTGTGATAATAATAATAAGAATAATGATGATGATGATAATAAAATTTCTTATGACGCAGAGATTAACAACATACAGATTGCAAATCGGCACTGAATGACCTAAATCCATGTGGCACAATTATATTAGCATCGTAGTTGATCCTATTACTTGGGAACACAACCTGATTAGGTCGTACTTCGTTAAAAAAAATTACTGCCCAAAGAGAATTGATGTGTACTTAAAAATGTGATGGACTTTACATAGGAGAGGTTGACATATTCATGTCTAATTAAACGAAATGATAATGCCTTATGCTTAACAGATTAAATGTTGATTTCAGTTTGATAATTTCAACAGGAAACCATAAACTGTATAAATATTTGATTGCAAACACCTGTCTTGTAAACTCGATGTCAGTTTTTTTTTGTATCTATTAAGAGGATGTCCACATCATAATAATTATATTAGAAAATAACAAGTTTGAAAACTGTACAGGTTTTTAAAGATTTATTCCCAAATAATTACTTTAGCTGCAGGGAGTTAAAAAGCTTTGAAGATGTATCTAATATATGAAAATGAAAATAATATAATTCAGTATTTCCACATCAAAATTACTATCATTAGGAAATAGTTATAATACAGTAAGAGAATTCAGATTGTTAATGCTGTTAATGTGTATTGTTTGAAAATTGTACTATTTTTAACAATGTCTTCCCAAATAATTACTTTAGCTGCAGCAAGTTGAACATATTTGAAGATATTTTTTTAAATATATAAATAGGAAAATAATATAATTCAATATTTCCACCTCAAAATTAATGTAATTAGGAAATAGTGTGTTATAATACTAGTAATAATTCAGATTATTAAAAAAAAGAAAATAATATTCAGTTATTCCACATCAAAATTAATATCATTAGAAAATAACAAGTTGTAATACTGTAGTAAGAATTCAGATTATTAAAAAAAGAAAATACAGTAATATAAATTCAATAATTTCACATCAAACTTAATATCATTAGAAAATAGCAAGTTTTAATACTAGTAAGAATTCAGATGGTTAATGCTTTTAATGTGTATTGTTTGAAAATTGTACTGTTTTTAACGATGTCTTCCCAAATATTTACTTTAGCTGTGGTGAATTAAATATCTATGAAGCTATATTTTTTTTTGAACATGAAAATAATATGATTTAATAATTCCACATTATAATAGTCATTAGAAAACAAGAACAAGTTATAATACAGTAGTAATAATTCAAATTATTATTGCTGTTTATTGTTGTACTGTTTGAAAATTGTACTGTTTTTTAAAGATATCTTCCCAAAGAGTTACTTGATTTGCAGTTAAAAGCTATATTTTCTATGTTGAACTTGGGACTAATATAATTCAATATTTAAATGTTTTAGTATTTTCAACTAAAGTAATTAACTTTGGATTAAAAAAATGGAAAATCATGAAATTTTATTCAAACATTAAATTGCTTTATTTAAAATGATAAAAAAAATAATCACCTTTCAGTTAAAAAAGCAGGTTAATGTAATTCAGTTATTGCTAATTTAAAAAAAAAAAACTTTTACTACTAAAATCTTTAAATTATCTGCCAACCAATTATGAGCTTATTTTATGCCTCTGGTAATTGATAAGGAAAATACTCTCTTATTTTAATTTACAATTGAAAGCTAATACAGCCTTTTATTGTCATCCTCCTAAAATTGATTGATTCCCATTTAACAACAAAACCAAAATGAATGGTTAATGGTTTTAAATTTATAAAGCACAAAATATAAAAAAAAAAAAGTCTCTATGCACTGTGAAAACAAGGGTAGAGATTTTTTTTTTTTTTAAATAAATAAAATGTAGATGAATGTTCCGAGCCAGTCCAGCACCCAAACCGCAGTATGGGGATACATAGGGTAAAATATATACACCGGGTTAGCACTTCAAAATAGTTAATTTTATTCTTCATTACCACAAATATGCTCAATACAAACATCATATTCTAGCATTTTGGTTTTGATTTTATATATTTTTTTTTATTGTGTAATTTCGTAAAGTGCTCCGAGATATGTTTATTGAGTGTTCTAGCAATTACTGAATTATTATTGTAGTTTGTGAAGAGAAAATTAAGATGTAAATTTTAATGAAACAAGAATTTTATTTTGAATAATCAATAGAGAATGCAAATCAAAATAAATACCGAATCAAATTTATTGGCGAAGCTCATAAAATTCATGGTGAAAAGTCTTGCTTGGCATAAGCTACCACCAATTTTCGAATAAGCTCCTCACCAAACATGGGTTTTTTCGCTAAGCGCTGCTCTCAAAATTAGTGCTGCGTCTCTTATTTGAGAGTACATACTACCCTGTGTGTAATGAAACACCTTAAGAAACAGGGTTTTAAATATAATGTATACAGTGTTCAAATGAATAAATAATACAATGAAGACACAAGCATATCTCTATAAATGTTTATTTACGATGATGTAGGGCCTTACCTATGATAGGCCTACCAAACTACGGGAATACTTCAGATAGTGTAACAAGGGAACAGGCATGGAAAGCACCAGCACCAATATTTATTTAATAAGCGCCACTCTCATATAAGCGCCCCACTTAAGCCTCTAAGAAATGTATAAGCTCTGCGGTGCTTATTCAATGATTTACAGTATATTAAAATATACAATACATATACACCTTTTATTTATCCCACATGAGGCAATTCAATAATACTGTATATACTTATGTATAAGACAAGGCTTAAAATAGCAAATTACGATCGAAAAACAGGGGGGTCGTCGTCTTATATGCGCGACATACAAATATTTGATTTTTTAAGTCATGTCCGTCTTATGTTACGGATTGTCCGTAACATGCAAATTAACTACTGTAATGAACCTACTAGAATGAATGCAATTTTAAATACTAGGAAATAAGATTTTGATTAACAATTTAAAGCCTATAAAATGGTATTATATTTTGAAAATTAGCCCTGCATTTAGCTTCGTTTTTAGCCGTCTAGACGCAGTATCAAGACCACAATGAGCAGCAAATAGTATGAATTCCGACAGTGAAATGTGGTTCGTCTTTATACGTCCGACATTCAAAATTTGTCCAAAAACCTTCTCACATTCGGGGTCATTTTTTTACACGGGTTGCCTTGTATGCGAGTATATACGGTAAGGGTCTGCATCATAATTGTTTAAAATACTGTATAAAATAATTATTCTTAATTAGGAAAAAGCTTTTGGGGATCAATGAGAAAACAAATTAAGGCTTAAATGATTCTCCGTCCTTTTGCTACGTTCGACCTAATTGATTAATTTTGGTCAAATTTCTTTTCTTGTAATTTATATCTTCATGTTTTGCTGTAAAAAAGTTTAATGTAAATTTTCTCCTGTTCAAATGGAAAAATATACTTTGATTTGATGCCAAGGAATATTTAAATATTTTTATATGTTAATAAATAAAATTAATAAAATAATGATAATAATAATAATAATAATAATAATAATAATAATAATAATAATAATAATAATAATAATATTATTATTATAAGGCATACAAATGATAAAATTTGAATTTAAATGAGAGCAAAATGATTTAGATTTATTTATTGTAATTTGCAATTGCAAATGCGATTAAATTTTGTTGACTTTTCCATTTTTAAACTTACCTGTGTCTTCATGGTACATTACCATTATTATTATTATTATTATTATTATTATTATTATTATTATTATTATTATTATTATTATTTTTATTATTTTTATTATTTCCCTTTGTAGCTAGGCCTGAAAAGCCTAAGCAATGAGGTGGTACATGCCAGGGAGCAATTGATAAGACAGTAGTATTTTCATAGGCCTACCAACATTCTCGATTTTCGCATGATGGAGCGAGCTTGCGGAAGGACTTGCCGGCTTGCAGGAGTGTGGGAACCATGCTGATTTATTTTTAACTTAGAGCAGCTTAGCTCAGTCGGCTAAACTGGTGGTACCTACTGTGTGTGCGAAGAACTGTGGAGATCTATAAGTTGGTCCTTAGTTCAATTCCTATCACTGCTCTTCTTGTATTTCAGCTGGAGGGCTGAAATGCAAGTTACGATAGTACACCGTCTTTCGGGTGAGACGTTTAAGCCGTTGGTCCTGTGTGCGTTATGGCCCATGTGCACGTTAAAGAACGCAGTACACTCTTCGGAAAGAGTAGGGGATTGTCTCCCGATGTACTGCCTAGTTACCATCAAAAGGACCCCACTGGAAATAAGTCTTCTTTAGACTTTCGTGGGTATACCCTAATTAGTCCAATCCAATCCAAAACTGTTATGTTTTATTTCAGCTGTTTTTCACTGACTTTAAATGCTGACTTTATTTTCTTTTGTTTTTCTGTTTTGTTCCAGGTTTGCTGTATGACAGTATGGCCATAGAGGATGGACTACAGTCTGCTGTGAATACAACGGAAGCTACCAACACTACAATCTTCTAGAATCTACTTTCAATTGTAAAAAATAATAATAATCAGGAATTTATTTTATCATGTTTTATTTGTATTTTAAATTACTGTTTGTGTGTTGTGTATAAGATAGTACTGTTTTCATGCACAGGCAATATATATAAAGAAAATAAATGGTAATCAGGGTGCTTGAAACAGTAATCCAGGTTGTTGGGTTCGAATCCTTTTCCTCTAAAGTGGAAAGCAATGGAAGTTTATCAATTTGGCCCAATGCGGCTAAATTGCTAAAGCACCCAAACAATATAATCAGGGTTGTTGACTTCGAATCCTAAAGGGATTGTGTTTGCCTGCGGGAATTGAATTAAGTATAAAAAATTGGTGCTCATTTGGTAGAGCAACGAAAACATTAATTCAAATCCTATAGTACTTAATGAATATCACATTTTTGGTATGTATCTATTGTGAGAATCGAATGAAATACTGTACTGCATATGAATTCGGCCAGTGGGTCTGGGGCCGCTAACAAGGGCTTCTTTGCCTGCATATTTGATGTTTTGAAGAAGTATTTTGATGGATTTTAACAAGTTAAAGACTCTTAGGAAAGCCCCTCTCATCTGGGGCAACATTGCTAATAAATATCCCGGGGGCCCTTTAAGGCCTGGGGACCCTGGCATGAGCTGTAACTATTACAACACATAATCTTGGCCTAATGTGACTCAATTTGTAGAGCAACCAAGTAGTAGTCAAAGGTTGTTGAGTTCGAATCCTAATAGTAATCGCATTGTTTGTGAGGCTACTGTGAAAATATGGACCAAACCAATGGTAGACCTAACACAAGTCAAAGGTATTGATCAAATTATGAAGCAGATCTCTTTGTTTATACAGTATAATGTAATAATCAAGGGTCTTTTTGTAAAGAAACACAATTTCAACAAAAAAAAAACAGAATCAATAATGTATCACTATTATCAAATAATTGAATTATATTTTATATTTGAGGTTAAATTTTATAGTATATACTGTACACGGTAGAAGTAGTACCCCATACAGAATACCACTAATGAACTTATATTTGAATTAATCTTTCAAAATATGTAAAAAAATTTTATGAATTTTTTATGTCCTTAATGAAGTTTGTATAATATATTCAAACATTATTGATTTATATATAAAATGCTAATGTATTTTTAGATTTTATTTCTATTATTCTCTTTATTGTATAATTTTTTGGTTATTTAGGTAAATAATTTTAAAATGTTGTTATCCAACCAAAAAACATGTCAATGTGGAAAAATTCCGATTGATTTGTTTCATTGGTTGTTTAGCTTAGTTGTATGTATTGACAAAAATTTTCTTAATTAGTTTTATTTTTCAGTTATAAAAATAATATAATTTAATAACACTTATTATTCAGTGTTTGTTAATTGCAATTTTAACCTGGACAAATTGAATTCACAGTATCAACGGGTTATGTAATTTTCAGGGTAATATTTTAGGTAGTAATATTTAATATTAGTGTCTTTCAATTATTCTTTCAATTATTAAGTTAGTACAATTAATTAATTAATTAATGTTATCCAAAAACATATCGATCTTTCTGTCTTAGGGAATAATAATTAAAATACTGTAATGTAATCTAGTAGAATTATAATAGAATTCGCCCCTAGCAATGACATAGCCATGGTTGAGAGCAATAATAGAAGGAAAAGAACAACTGACAAACTATTGCCTAGTTCTTGATAATATAGAAATAATCATAATGGTTTTCTTTTTTATATCGCCTAGTAAACCAATTCGTAGTTACTGTGCCTGCCTGTATTTAAGGTCAATTCACATATGCCTATGTTGTGTGTGTGCGTGTGTATGTCGATTTAGCTTGATTCGCGCATGCGTAGTTCAAACTACGAATTGGTTTATATCAGAACGTCTCAAAGCGCTTGAAATAAATACTGCCCCTGGTCATTAGATCTCTTAAATTGTCAGACCAGAACAGAGAGAGGCAACCTCCTCCGCTCCCTGGAGAATAAGCCTACTGCATGGAGGAGTGAAGGTATTCACTCCCTGAGTAAGTGGTATTAGGGTGCAGACACCATGGAGTGCCACAACATCCTACCAGGTACTCCATTATACTCCTCGGTGGAGAGATACAAACGTAGGTAAAGTGCCTTGCCCAAGGATCCTAGCGAAGTGCGTGTACGAGAATCGACACGTTACCCCAACCAAGTTTTGGAACCCGAAATTGTTGCGCAAACCACTTCTCTTATGTTTAGGAAGCCCCTGCACTTTATGTATTATTGGTGATAAGACTCGCTACCATTCACAGGGTAGTTCCGGTAATCGACATTGTTTTGAGAAAGAAATTTGAATAGACCTATTTAGTATTCACTTATCCTTCATCTAGTATTATTCGTGTTAGTATTCATCTAGTAATTATGTGTGTTATTTTAAGTAGTAAGGAGGTTCCAAAAAATTTAAAAAAAAACGATTTAAAAATTACGCCATATCTTCGTTTGTATAATTTCATTGTTACAAATTTCTTTTTTGGACACTAGACTTAAATCTGGGAGTTTGTCATGACACAGAACCTTAAAATTCTGATTTCGGCCTTTTATACCTGTGAGGTAATGGACCGTTCCTATAAGCCCCTTTCCTTGGATATTGATGCTAAGGTCCCACATAACGACAGCGTAAACGTACGTGTTTGTGGGACATGCGCGTGTTCGTGGGACATGCGCGTGATTCTGGACATGTTCTGATTGGTCAGTTGTCATCGATTACACTATCGGAAAGGTGCATTACAGTTCAAGAATAATTAGTTGCATTATAATCGATTGTAATACAATGGCCATAGATTACCACGTTGTGAATCGTAAATTGGTTAAAAAAAAAAATGTTATGATAATAATATAAAATTGATGACGTTTTCCTAAGATGATAAAACCTTTCTAATTTCAAAACCGACCAGGGCTGCGCCGAGTCGTTTATTATCACTATAATAATTTATGATGTGCCTTCTAAGAAATGTTGTAATTAACCACATGTATTGATTAATTTTCCGATGCATAATGTTGTCATAATTATATTTTTTAAATGTGTATTGTTTATACATAGTTTGGTGATTGCATGGCGTGTGTCATGCGGGGTTTAGTCTGGTGGAGGTAATTTGTGTTTGTTGATAGAATTTAATTCATGAATACCAATCATGTAGTATGGTATTAAAGCAGCTCTCTTATGGCCAGTTATATTTTAAATGGTTCGCATTTAAATTTTTTTGATAGAATTTAATTCATAAATACCAATCATGTAGTATGGTATTGAAGCGGCTCTCTTATGACGAGTTATATTTTTAATGGTTCGCATTTAAATTTTGTTAATAGAATTTAATTCATGAATACCAATCATGTAGTATGGCATTGAAGCGGGTCTCTTATGGCCAGTTATATTTTTAATGGTTCGCATTTAAATAATGGAACCTCTACTTGAATGAGACATCCATTTTTGCGTATAGAAATGCAGTCTCTTTTTGTACAGAATGTATGTGCAATTGTAAGTTAGGTTCACACTAGACTAAAGCAGTTAAAGCAGTTTATGCTTTGAGATAAACTTAACCTGGCGCAAAGTGAAGAAAGCGCGCGAAGCGTTAAGAAACCGCTTACACAACAGTGGCTCAATCAGACTGCAGCTTTGTATGCTTGCAAATTATGGATGATTTAGCATTTTCGTCACGTAACTACGACTTCGGACTCGACTAAGTTCAAACCCAGCAATTGAGACCAAAACAATACCGATGAAAGCAGTGAAACTAAATAGGTTATCCGAATATTAGCAATAGTAGGCTTAACATAACAGTTGATGTTAATTTTTAAAATATGCACAAATTACAGGTATATGTAAAGAAAACTGAAAATTGACTTGTGACGACGAGCACAGAGCTGCATATCATTCACATCGGATCCAAACCGAAATTCCCACTGCGTTTCCGATGCGCTGTACTTTTTTTTTTTTTTTTTTTGTATTTTTATACACCGATTCGATTTTCTCATCGGTTCGGTAAAGCCGGGCACTCATTGAGTCGTACGACGAATCCACCTTTGCTTCCGGGGAGAGGTAGACGACGTAACGCCGTCTGCTGATTGTCAGTGGCAGTCTGAGTTGGTCTGAACGGATCCTCATTAAAAAAGCGGTCTGTTGGTTCCGCGCCGTCGCGTTGCCGTCGCGCGCAGTGAGTACCCGGCTTTAATCTTTCCTGGCACTGTTCTGATTGGTCAGTTGTTGTTTGATTGACACTAAGGAAAGATCCATTCTGTGTGAATGCACCTCTAGCGTTTATTGCGTTTACGTCAAAACTGCTTTCTAGTGTGAACGTAGCTTAAATATTGTATTATACGCGCGATTATCGTCATGGAAACAGTTTTTGTATAATACTATTCATTAAATTGTATGTAAACCAATTCAATCTTGTAAATACCTTTCCTTTAATTTGCCAACTATAAAAAGGATGTAAATTGCATATATTTTTACCAATATATATATACATGAGACTGCGGTCATTGAAATAAAATGTTACTGATGTGATCATCGTGTTCTGGATTATATTATATTGATATAATTAATTTTGTATACATTATTATTTTCACATTGAAAGTGCGAATAACATGACCTTCAATATAGGTTGTGTGCCAACGTGGTAATTATTGTGTGATTAATTAACGTTAACTTTTAAAAATTTGACATTTTTATGATATTAACACCGTTGTAAATAAATGTTTTTTACATTCTCTCTAGAATTAGTATTTAGCTACTAGTATATCGAAGTGGTGTCTAAATATTTGTGTAAAGTAGGTTAAGTTTTTGACGTTATTTTGTTATTACAACCTAACCACAAAATGACGAGGGATAAATCATCTTCTACATAGACCTGTCCATGCTATCAAATTGTATTTGATAAAACATGTGACATGCCTAAATATGGTCATGGTGACGTCATATCATGACCATACATAGGCACATCATTACTATAATGGACATTCAACAGCATTTTCTGTCAATTTGATTGTCTGAACAGGGCTTTAATGATGTTTACAATTTTACGAAAATGACTACGAACGCCATTAGGCATTAGGAAGGTTTCGCAACCTTACGAAAACGATAACGAATACGTCATTGTCGTCGTTATCGTTATTCGTGCCCGAAACATTCTTGACAGTATGCTGTATGAGCTGAATATGATCCTTGACTCGTGCGAAAAAAGAAACAAGGAATCGCCTACGTTGTGACAAATATGCTACTGTAGGGGAAGGGTTGTCTTAAAATTGATGACGTAACCGTATTCGTTATCGTTTTCGTAAGCTTGTGAAAACTCCCTATTTTCTCCTGGCGTACCTTCCATTGCTGTTAATTTAACACTTTTTGAATGAAAAAACGAATCTCGTAAAACGCATAACTGTGTTTTAGTTTTCGTAAGATTTCTCAAGAATAGGGGTGCATTTTCTTTTTTTTTTCCAATGTAATTCCTAATCATTTTAAAAGGAAGTTCTAAAAAATTAAACATAGTCCTATTTATATTTTTTTCGTATCATATTAGTAGAATTTTAATTTATTATGGTGATTAAATTTTAATTTGATATCGTATATGAAAGAATTTTAATGGCAATGGAAGTTGTAATTTTGTTAAGTCAATTTTATAAACTAGAAATAGATAATTCCACATGTATTATTAAAGGTAAAGTCATGTTGCGAGACTAATGTATGTAAAACACTATAAAAAATAAGTACGTCACTGTCATGCTACTTAACCGTACTGCCTCAAAAAAATATATATTCAATAAAAAAATGTAATGTATCGTGAGCGGGTTCTTAACCCATGCCCTAATTTATTTCTAATGTGCTATTTGTGTTTCATTAAAGTGCCTATTCCACGTGTCACTTGATAACACGGTGATCCATCGGCATTCGTACGCACGTTTTAGCTACTAACCTACCGGTTCTGTGCTAGTTCGATTACGTTCTGATGTGACCGTTATATTGTAGGACCAACTGTTTAAATAGGGACCGTCACGTGGCTGTCACTGTCTTAATCAAAACAAATATTACTTTAATACATACAATATATATATTTTTAGATTTCAAGCATCAATGGTAAATCTATACATTTTGAATACCGATTTGTCTACTAATTACTTGCAGTCATAAAACTAAAACCTCAGTAGAAGATTGTGATTTTGTATACAGTTACCGTATAATTATCAAGAGTAATCTGTGAACTGTATTATGATATTGTGGATTTATCTTGCCTCAAAGCACGTTTGTCTGTGGTGTTTTAAAATGTATTTTGCAAATGATAGATAGGCCTATTTGTTTGAGCGCCAAAATGAACAATTTTCACGAGGCTTTTTGGGCCTCACAAAGAGAGGCAGACCAGGTTTACCTCATCACGTATAAATGTGGCCTAGGCCTATTATGGAGGTATAGGAAAGTGCTCTGACCAATATCGCAACAACGTTGTCAAAATATAATACTTTGATTGCTTCCCAGTAATTTTTTTTTTCACTTTTTTCGGCGGTCATAAATATTGAAATTACCTAGAGCTGTCAATCAAAGTAGTTGTTTTTATACCGGAAATAAATACTGTATGAAGATTATGTGATGTTTGTAGTTGCTTAATGAGTGTTTGTTTTTTGTCTATTGCCCCTTTGCCGGGTCAGTAGACACTTTGCTATCGTCTGGCAATTGATCTTGTAAGAGTAAATCCGGTGGAGGAATGATAAAAATGAAAACATAGTTACTAACCTGAGAGATTTCAAATGCATGAGTGACTACACCAGTTGCTGGGGGACGGGGGAAGAGGCCCGGTGGGTGGCCCTCCAAAGATTTGAGCATTTTTAAGCTGTTTTAAAACGATTTCAGGGGGTGTTTGTTGACAATAACAAGTACATACGCAAAAATATTTTTAATAAAGCCACGTACAATTTTAGTTTCAATGTAGGCCTAAATTTGAGCACCCAAACTATGTACACAAACAAACATTTCATTACTCAAACAAACCAAAAATGAATAGGCATACTGATCATTTTTTATTTACGGGTCAGTGAATTAAGTGTTCATCTAAATACCTGACCTGAATGACAGTTTTCATGTTAATAAAACCAATTTCTTCTATTGTAAATACATTTTCCCCTGAATTCGTTATAATTCGTTATCACGCATAGACTTGTGCTAAATGCGTGACAATATAATTGATCACGCAGCGCATGTTTTTCGACAAAATGCGTTTTCATCTAAAATCACTTTAAAATACGGGACCGTCCCGCACGATGCGAGACGGTTGGTAACTATGTGAAAAGTTCACAAAATATGATGCCATGCTAGGTAAGTCCTGTCAAAGAAAGAAGTAGGCATATATGTCAACAATTTGTTGCTTGTACCTATTCAACTGAATTGCAGAAAGTGTGGATGAGTTAAAAGTGTAAAAAAACCATGCGTAGACACACGCTCCAGCTGGGAGCCTGTTTTTTTTTCATAGCCGTTGTAAGAATCGGTCTGGGAGTCCAAAGTAGCTTGCGTTGTAGATTTAGCTTAGGCCTAGATCTAAAATCTTCTCTATAGACGTGGGAATTGGTAACTGCTACTCTCATTGAAAATGAATTATGAATACAGTATCATATGCTGAAATGTCAAAATGTGTCTGTCGACGTGCACAGAATTTATGCGGAGAGAATCCCGAAACGTAAACCTTATACGAGACGAAGATTTCAGAGGTAATATAAGGTTAACTAAAATGATTCCGTGGAGAACGAAACACGACGAGGCGCGTGCAACTAGCTAACATCTTTTTTTTAAATGACGATACAGTACGAAGACTGCCACCGTGTCGATCTTCAAGGTCTCACAGAGATCAGTGATAAATTCTTCGGCCTCTACGATCGTCGTTCAACGCAAGTGTGCCGGCCTTAATAATGAGAATTACTGTCTTACAAATTAATGTACAAACTATAAAAAAAAAAAACGGTTTGTAAACAATAAGAAACAAAGTTCTCCAGAACCATGAGGGTCATCGATAAGTTTGGCAAAAGATATTATCAAACAAACTCCGAAAAAAGTAGTACAAGCCATTGTTATTCAATATTTCGAACTTTAATTAATTCATCTTCAGGAAATGAAGTGTTGAAGGTCACCAGGATACATATTTTAATGCGAGATAATAATTTTCTTTGAAATACCAGATTATTTTAGTACCTGCAAGAGGAAAGTATCCTGGCTGGATATGAAACGTTTCAAACTTATATTGAATTGGAATTTTGTCCTATAAATGTAACTTGATATAAAGTAAATGAAAAGATCCCTTCGTTAAATATTAATACGGAAAATTAACATAGAATCTGTAATAATTTCAACCTATTGTGTTGGCCATTAAAGAAGAATACGAGCGGTGAATATCATAAAGAAGGAAATACTTTATGAAGTCAGTTCTCAACGACTTGGGTATCGAACATGGAAATTTTAAAACCAAAACCATTGTAAGTTACGAAATATCGCGTCGGGTACATCTCCCCCTTCAGTCGGGGATATCGTACCCTCCCCACCCCCCTTTCGGGCAAATCTTGGTGCCACCTGTGATCATATATTGTTAATAATTTATATTGCATTTTCTGATTAGGCCTATGTTTAATTAATTTGCTTACTCATGAAGACGCATTAGTATCTGCTCCAATCCAATATTTATATTTTCAGGTGTTAACAATTGTTGTATTTATTCATGCTTTCAAGTTTTATATTGTATATTGGTAATTTATTTGTTAACTATTTTTAGTCATTTTGCATTTATCATTTATATATTATTAAACACTTTCTTCGGCTAGTCCACCTCGCGATCGTCTCCGTATCTTCATCTAATAAATGTGGATTTCCTGCTTGTTTTGAACATTTTTGTGACTGCAACTTGAAAGTGTGAGTACCCGTGACAACTCTGGAACTATTTCTGTGCAATTATTTGTCTGAATTACCGGATTTTTTAGGAATTTTAAAATTGTTCATAGCTGTTTCTGTATATAAAATTCTCGTACTGTACTGTGTTATTGTTACTTTAGCCGGTGTCCTCGACTAACACGCATGATTGATTTCTACAAAAGCAAGATGTGTTTCAGCTATACAAGAGAGGCACTTTTAAATATCGGTAATCAATGCGTGACTAACAAAGTTGAACGCTGTGTTTGGAATGATCTGAAAGACTTACGCATAGCTAAAATAACCACTCATCGTGGTTGTCGTGCAGGTAAAAACAAACAGAGACTAATTAAGACAATAATAACTGAGCGGTCGCCTGCTTCATATAATACTCACTACCTGACTAACACGCGCACTGTAAACCATAGCAATTTATCCCAAATACCCATCAATCACAATCAACATGGCAATTTTATAACGACAAATTTGCAGCAACAGACAAAAAATAGCAAAAAGGTTCCTGTAAAGACTAAGCTAGCCAGCTGGAACACTCGTTCTATGAACAATAAAGTTACTGTTTTATGCGATCTTATTATTCAGGATGAACTTGATATATTGGCTTTACAAGAGACCTGGTTAACTGGTGATGAAAGGGATGATTGTATACTGGCCGACATAGCGCTGACTCTTCCTAACTTTGATTTTGTTCAATCCCCCAGGATATTTTCTAAAGGTGGCGGTGTCTGTGTGTTTGCCAAGAAAGGGCTCAAACTTACCAGCAATAAAACCTCTAATTACTCCAGTTTTGAGTATATGGATGTGAACATTTCTCGTGGCTCCTCATCTATCCGCCTGTTTAACATATACCGCCCTCCACCATCGAAAAAGAACAAGTTGACCAGATCCATGTTTCTGGAAGATTTTTCTAGATTTTTGGAATCAGTTGCGGCTATTCCTGGAGAAATCATCATTCTCGGGGACTTCAACATCCACGTCGACGAGGCCAATGATCGGTTTGCCACCTCTTTTGCTGATCTCTTGGACGCCGTTGGTCTACGGCAACATGTTGCTGAAAGGACTCATAAATCTGGTCACATTCTTGATCTTTTAATCAGTCGTCAATCCTCCAGTGTTATCACGGGTGATGTCAAAATTCATCCAGGAACGCCTTCTGATCATTACGCAGTGAAATGTTATCTCAATTGCATTCCTCCAAAGGCACCTAGAAAGACTCTAAAATATCGTAAGATCAGGCAGATTGTCGTTGATGATTTTAAATGTGACATTGAATCCTCGGAACTTTACACTAATCCTGCGAGTGATCTTGATGGGCTTGTGTACCAGTACAACACCATCCTCCATGACCTTCTGAATAAACACGCGCCGCTTGTTGAAAAGACTGTTACTGTGAGACCAAATGCTCCTTGGTACAATGATGAACTTAGAGCAGCCAAGCAAGACAAAAGACGTGCTGAAATTCAGTATGCGAAGTCCAAGCTGGAAGTTCACAAACAAATCTACGCTGACAAGTGTAAGCTATACAAAACCTTGCTTGAAACAGCAAAGGAAGACCACCACCGAACACAGATTGAGAATAGCAACAGTAAAGAACTTTTTCGCGTTGTCGGTAAATTATGCAATCCTTCGTCTGAACCTGTCTTGCCAGATTGTGATACACAAGAACAGCTTGCAGAAGACTTTGCAGCATTTTTTGTTGACAAGATTAAAAACATTCGCAATGTTCTTGACTCCACCGATTCTCAGGCCGTCTCAGTTGATCTTCAAACTACCTGTAGTAGCATCCTGAGCGATTTCAAAGAACTTTCGCCGGTTTCTGTCCGAGAAGCGATCATGCAGTCACCTAACAAAAGCTGTCCACTTGATCCCATTCCGATGGAACTGTTTAAGAGCTGCGTGGACAGTCT